TCACCGAGATACACTATCACTCTCAATCTAATGAAATCATGAACAATTTTTGAAATCATAAAAAAATTCAAAATTCATGAACATATTTGAAATAATGAACATTTTTCAAATTCATGACCGCTTTTACAAATTTTCAAACATTTTCTAATATCAAGAGCATTTCTTGAATTAAAGAGTATTTTATTCTTTTGCAAAATAAAAAAATGTGAACATTTTATGAACCAATTTTCTTGAATCCGCAAATATTTTTAGAATCGACGAACATTATTTTGGAAATTGGTGGAACAATTTTGAAATTCACGAACATTTTTGATTTAACGAATTTTTTTAAATGCATGATCATGTTTTGAATCAGGGAACATTTAATATATGAATAAACCATTTTGTAAGTTACAAACAGTTTTTAATTTTTATGATATTTTTTCCATTCATGAACATTTTTTGAATTGGCAAAATGTTGTTCAATTTCATTAACATTTTTAATGCATGGACTTTCTAAAAACATAATAAACGTTTTTTTATTTCCCGAATATTTGTTTTCAAAATTTCAAACATTTTTTGAATAAGCAAATATTTTTTTACAAAATCGCAGGCATATTTTGAGTCCACGAACATTTTATTATTCATTAAACTTTTATTTCAAAATTCTCATTTTTAAAAAAATTTGGAACTTTTTTGAAATCCCAAATTATTTCAAGTAGAGAAAAAAATGTAAAAGAAAAGTAAAACAAGAAATTTAAAACACAGGACGCTCGGACTTGGCCCGGCTCAAATGCCACTGAGTAGTAGGAGTAAGGACCCGACTAGTGAGAACTAGCTTATACTATCTTTCTGGTGTAAGAGCATCTCGCTTATCGGGCGCGCTGTGTCTTCTCCCTACGCGCATAGTGCAGTATAGGTCCCTACTGCATGGGCCGACACAAGCGGGGGATTCCGCTGTGTGAAACGTTTTTATCATTTATAGTGGCATTGGTGGGTAATATTTTGCACATCTGGGGGCAATTTTCGGAACGTGCCGCCAGAAGGAATAGCTCCTTTATTATTAGGTGTAGATTTATGCACGAAGAGGCATCTTTATTTACCAAGAGACGTGTCTTTCTATAACGAGAAATCCTTTTATCAATGGACTTGACTTTTTACACAATAATACGATTGTTTATAGGGCTCAAATGCCAAGAACTAATGGACTTGATTGAACTTCGATATAATCCAATTGATGTTCTTCTTAAGGTGGTGTGGATTGATGTGAATATTGCATTGTGTGTGAATTTTAGAATAAAGGAAATGTCAAAACTGAGCTTAATACAAATATAAAGAAACTGTAGATTGTAGGGCATTTCAAATGCTACAAATCAATATTTCAGATGTGCTAAGTAATTTACGCATTTGAATTCAATCATGTCCTATGTGAACTTGCATCAAAATTTATATGGAAAGGGACAAAATATACATTAGAATATTTTCGCGAGGATAATACTACACACTAAGCATCATAACTAACCTGTTTCAGTCTCTTTATCATGACCTAATCTATGATTGGGTTAGCTACAACAAGCTAATTTGAAATCTCAGCAAGAATTGGCGAATGAAAGAGAGTCTTGGGGATAAAGGAGAAAACAAGAAGAGGTCACAAGTATGATAACACCCCATGCATCCTAAAAGTGGCAGTCCCACTGACACATCACACACTAGCACAATAAGCCGTTTAGATCTCCCCATTTCTCGCCTTCCCTATTTCTTGCTCAGCTTCGCCAACGCCTACAGTTTTATGACACACAATATGTGAGACAATGCCACCCACTAGCAATGCATTGTGCCCCCATGTTGTTGCTCGAGTGTAGTGCTCCGTGAGCACATTGTATTCCTTGCACTTAGTCATGGTAACATGGTCTCCTACATCGTCATCCATTTGATCAATACATGATCGTGTGCCGCATCCCTCATTTGGTCGGGCGCCTATCGAGTATCAGTACAGGAACACTACCTATCTGATCTAGGTGTAACCCATGTGGCAAGTTAGAGAACACAAAAGTATAATCTCGAATTTGAGCGTTGAGCCGAGAGACATGAAAAATAGGATGTACTTCACTGCTACTACATTTAGAAAATAGAGCATTTCTTGAAATTCAAACAATTTTGAAGATCACCAAACAATTTTTGAAAACATGGTCATTTTTTGAATTGGTGAACAATATTTGAAACGTTAACATTTTGAAAATATGAAGAACGTTTGAAACTTTCAAACATTTTTTAAAATTCCCAAAAACATTAATATATGATTAAATTTGGCAATTATTTTTTGAAATTCTAAACAACTTTTCGAAACATGAACTTCATCAATTGTTTGCTAAATTCACAAAATGTTCACTAATGAAAAAAAAAACGAATTTTAAAAGTATCCTTGAATTCAAATATTGTTCATGAATTAAATAATTGTTCATGAATTTCCATATAAAATTTTCAAAGCACAAACATTTTTTGATCATTATGTGAATTTTGAACTATTTAAGACATTCCATTTAAAACACTGAAACTTTCTAAATTATGATTTTTTAAATCTTAAATATTTCTTGAATCTATCAATAATTTGAAATAAAAAGCAATTTATGGTATTTTGAATATTCTTCTGAAGAGTTTGAACATTTTATGAACTTACAGAATGATTTTTTTAGAAAAATAAAGGAAAATAGAGAAAAAAGAAACAAATACCAAAAGACCAGGAAATAAAAAACAGATTCAGAAACATTCTGGAAGTTTCCTAAAATATGGCCAGGAACCTTCCAGAAGGTTCCTAAAACTGGGAATGCAAAAGAAAAGGTGGTAACCTGGGCCAACCCATGGAGCGTGTGATGAAACACTGCAGCGCAATCTAACGCCTTAAGTGCTAACGAGGGGAAAATCCTATGCACCGCTCATTGCAGCAAAATGTAGACAGAACGCACAGGCCGGCCCATTAAACCAGAGCTAGCCATCAGCTTTTGGGAACCCTCTTGAAGGTTCGCTGAACCGTTTTTTTCTTTTTTGACCGTTTTTCCTGTTTCTTCCTGGGGTTTTTTCGTTTTTTATTTTTCTTTTCTCTGTTTTTCTGTTTCTTTTTTCTTTTTTCCGTTTCTTTTCGCTTTTTTTGTTTCTCTCGAAAATTGTTCACAAAGTCCAAAATTTGTTTGGGTTTCTAAAAAAGTTCCAATTTTAAAAAAATGTTCGTGTTTAAAAAACTATTCGAAATTCGAAAAATGTTTGCATTTTTCAAAAACTGTTCGGGCATTTAAATAATTATTTTTGTTATTAAAATTTTTATTCTGAATGTTTTTGTGCATTTTTTTAGAAAATGATCCTGATTTTAAAAATTGTTCATGTTTTCATTTTTTAGAAGTTTCAAAAAAAATCCAGTTTTAAAAATTGTTCACAAGTTTTTAAAAAATCGTGTTTGGAAATTTTGTTCAGGAATTTCAAAATATGTTCACCTTTCCAAAAAAAATTGAAATTTGCAACAATGTTCTGGTTTCAAAAAAATTGTTCAAGGTTTACAATTTTTTTTCTATTTTTCCGAATATTTTATAGCTTTTAGAAATTTGTTCACAAATTTGGTATGTGTTCGCGTTTCACACAACATTCCGTTTTTTGAAAAACTATTGCTTTCGAAATTCCTAAGCTAATTCGGATCTACACAGCTTGTTTGTTCTTTAAGTTTGTTGCTACCAATTTCAACCGCTAGCTCAGTTGGCAAGAACTCATGCTCTATAGCAGAGCGTCGCATGTTCGAATCTCCGCCAACACATATAATTTCTTTTAGCTATAATGCGCTTTCGATTTTTCTGTTGATGTCGTTGTCTTCATGGGCCGGCCCATTCGAAGTACCCCCTGTGTGAAACGGCGACGACTTGACGCAGAGAACGTCAAGGTCCCCTAACGAGGAGCTCTTGACGATGCAGTGGCAAGGGATGCTTCCTTTGTGTAAGTGGTCGATCCATAGTGCGGGAGCCCACATTGCTCTGACTCTCTCATCTTGGCCTTCGACCTGGGTCATTTTAAATTGATGGGCCATGATTTCGAGCGAGTGGCGGACAAACCTGGCCAAATGGGTCGGTCCTGGTGTGCCGACCCAATAGCCAACATGAGGATCCGTGGTGAGCCTGGCTCGGCATGTACATACTCGGGCCGTGTCAGCACGTGGCCTTCTTAGGGTCGTGCCTCGTGCGAGGCTGGGCACGCATGCCGGCACAACACGGACGGTTTAGTTTTCTTATTTTTTTTTAGAAAAAAATACAGCCCAATAGGCTGAATATAGGCTCAAAACAGCACAATAGCTTGAATCCTACGTGGGCCAATGGGATAAACATGCCGCCGGGCTGGCCCATTTACCAAGGGGCCGTACAGCACGCAGGTTTAGCCCAGGCCCATCTGCCAGGTCTGGCGGCGGATAGGTTGGTTTCGTGGCAGCCAGGACGCAGGAGCCTTTCGCCAGCGGAGTCTCGTCCATGGCGCGGCCGCCGCGGGACACCTGGGCGAACTTACTCCCGCGGACGTGCGGGCACACGCACCGCCCTGGCTAGACCTGGGTATGCTCGTGCGCTCTGCCTGTTTTAATTTCTACGCGGCAATCTGTATTATGAATTTACCAAAGAAATCTTTTTTTTTTGGAATACCAAAGAAATCTTCTTCCCAGTTCAGTTACGGATAGCAACGACCCTTTTTGCTGCCATTCAGTGGTAGAGATTCGGTTGGCTGAGCCCAAGAGTTTCAGAGAGAAACCCCAAATGTAGAAGACGGCGCTACGAAAACCCATTCTTATTGCTGCAACTTTCGTTACAACTTGCAAAGTTCAGAAACACACGCGCCGCCACATTTTCACGGCACCTTACATACAGTTGCAGCTTATTTCTAAGGTCATATAACCAAACCCCATTCCTCAATTCACCTCATCTCAGCTCTATCGATCCTTCCTTGCAAACCCTTCCCCCTGAGCTAGATCGATCGACTTGCTATGCTTTCGCCTACGGTTACTTTGGTGTCAGGATGTACATCTTGCAGTCATGAGGCGCCACCGATGCGGATAGCTGCCCCTGAGCGGAGAACGACGAGTGCTGCGCAAACAAGACAGAAATTGTTGTGATGATGAAACCCTGGAATGTGCAGTGGATTGTTAAGAATGAGCACTGAGCTCTGAAGAAAGCAAGCTTACCGCCCATAGATCGCGAGCGGTGACGGACGCGGATGCCGGAAGCCCGACGTTTGACCAGTGTGCGGTGATGGCTGCCTGGTACCCCTGCCTGTTCCATAGAACCACCGCCTTTCTGTTGCCGCTGAGCGGGCCGGCCCAAACCTACAAAAATATCTCCCAAGTTTCAGTTTCAGAAATCTCATCATGGAAGTCGCTACTAAGAGATTTGAATCGAGCAATACCTCCAAACCACCATCGGATTGCACCTTCTTTCCCTGGACGCCTAGGCTATCTGTTCAGACCAACTGTAGTATGAGTACACAGAAAATCCCATATGAAGAAGGTGTATCATGGGCAAATAAGTGGAAGAGAATGCTTGCCTTGGTTGACAGCGATGACCTCCTGATTGCTGATTATGGTCTTTGTCTGCGGGCTCATCGAGCGCACGTCGCACCCGATCAGAAGAGGAGCCTACACAACTCAGAACCAGGATTGCAGTGAGGAAATGCGGAATTTCTTTTTGAGAAATGGAACAACATTTTTAAATGCACATGGGACATAATGGGTACCTTGGCAAGTGCCCAGATGCTGAAGTGCGAGCGGTACTCGGCTTCGGACATCCCACCGTTTCCAACTTCAAGCATATCAGGATCTGAGATTGGAGCAGAACATCGTCTATCGATCAGTTCGAACAAAGCTAACAAATCGTTGGGCAATCAGCAACACTGGGACAGATTGCTCTGAAACTCTTACCGTTCCATCCACCAGGTCCAGCGTAGGAGGCCCACCTGTCATTCTGGTCCGCACGGGATGTCATGCTGAAGTAACAAGGTAACTATGATCAGTCCTGCTAATCCTAGTAGCTACTTGACCAAAAATTCCTGAGTAGATGAAATGAGCAGCACCTGCCCCAGTTGTCAGCAATGTCGCCGGTTGTCCTCCAGCTATTACCACCCATGCCCCGTGCCCATGTAGCAGGGTTTTCGTTTCCCCTAAACGGCAAAAGCACATAAGAGTGAATCAGCAATGCTTGACGTTTCTCCTTTCCATCCTAAAATGTTATGACGTGCAGACTCACCATTCACAGAGTGAGAAGAAGATATTCTGCCCGTATTTCTTCATGGCGTTGCTCATCCTAGTGTATCTGCATCAACCATGGCAATTTACTTTGCAATCTAACACATAAGACCCAATGCACTTGTCATGCCGCAGTTTGAGGTATTGTTCTCCCTACCTTTCGTTGACACTCCTGCCAGCATCATTGCAGTTGTCATACTTCAGATAATCAACTCCCTGGAGACGAGAAGGCAGGAATTATAAGAACATCAGGATTTATGGTGTCAGTTTTGGTTCGGCACGAGCCATCAGGTAAGTAATTTTAAGGGGTATATACCCAAGACGCGAAAGTCTTCACGTCTTGCTCTTCGTGGTCGAGCGATCCTGGCATTTTGTTACTGCATGTTTGTGTCCTGCAATACATGGTCACAGTTACTTTGAGTTTATGGCCAGTTTATCATGTTTACAAATTCTAGTTTTCTTGGGCCAATGAAGAGTTTAGTTGCAACAGTGTGAGAAAAAAATAGTGTTATTTTTATGATGAATTGGATAGCTAGCATACCCAGCATCACTGTAGATACCGAGCTTCAACCCTTTCGCGTGCACATAATCTGCAAGCGCCTTGATGCCAGAGGGGAATGTTCTTTTGTTTGGAACCATGTTACCCTGAGAAATCATGATAGAACATTATCGATACTGACAGAAATAATATTATAAATCGTGTCCATATGCATAATTTTCTGCTTCTAAAACTTCTAATGTTATCTTGGAAATAATTCATACTACAGTTGTCTGAACAGAAAGGAATGTTTAGCAATGCTCAAGTGTATATCATTACCTGATAATCCCTGTTTAATTCTGCCCAGCAATCATCTGAAACAAGAGACAGGAAACACATTTGAGTAAAGCATGCTGTTAAAAAAATTCTAGTAGTTGTGTCCAACATGTCATGGGAAATATTGTCCAGAGAGCAGTCCATACCGATGTTAACATATTTATAGCCCAATTGGGCCAGACCGGTGTTGATCAATGCATCAGCTGAAGGAAAGGAAAACAACGACGCAGTCATTATGATAGTACAATTTGGCAGCATATCAAATTCTTCATGACATTATTGCTGCAGTAAATAAAAACAAGGACATCATCACGGGGTGTTGGCGTTGGTCGAGCACCAACAACCCAACTCTAGTGACTAACTGGTTCTAGCACTAACCAACCATAGTTATGTGTCGATGGGGGTAAGTACAAATTCTACCATGGGAGCAGGTGCATGCCACCTCTTATTAGAAGTTAAAAAAAAAACTTGTCTGACCCAACTTGTTAGCTCAAAAGTCCCCATCCTGATACGTACATCTGTCATCTGTGGATAGATTGCAGAGAGACTCTTGTGGTTTGTGACGCTAGGGTCAATTGATTTAGTTTATCCATCGGACCGCAAAGACCGGAAGATCTGATCTGCCCTCCACATGCCGCCCTTTCGCAATTGATCGGTTTGCCTTAAATGTGGATATGGGTCCTCATCACCCCTCATGAACGTGCCAACCAGAGATATAATTCCCATCAGAATTCTGCATATCTTACGCTGGAGAAATAAAGAAGTCTGTAGGGGCATGTGGCGTGTGAAGGTGTTCCTCTCGCTCAGCGGGTATAGTTGTGATGTGAAACATGCTTCATGCTTGGAATCTTTCCATTCTCGAGTGCTGCATTGGATTGGACCGATTAGGCTATAAGAAAGCCTACAAAGTAGTAACGCATGGCTCCATTAGCCTGTTTTTCTTATGCAGATTTCCGGGACAAAGGGCGAGCGAAAGGCATCTCTGGATCATTGAAAAGGAGAAAAGGCGTCCGTGGATGGATGGATGGATGGGTGAGTGATTCCCAGATCTGATCTGGCTCAAGGAATAAAGGTTGGGTAGAGATTTTGGAGGAGAGAATATGGCGATGCGCAGCGGGCTGTCGTGTTCCTTGTATGCTTCGTGCAACTTGTTGCTTGCAAGCTGTAACATGCTCTGTAACTGGCAACAACTAACAACAACCAACAGCAACGGGTAGGGAGAGGTCTGTGGCTCTTGGGGGCAGCGCCGACGCGGACGCCTCCGAGCCTGCACAAAAATCTCTCGGCTGCCTCGGTGCACCGACGACGCACCGCACAATGTCAGATGTGCCCGCGGCCGGACAAAAGGAATCTAGTCTGTTGGCGAGGGATTAATTGGGCCTGCTGGCCTTTTCTATGGATCTTTCCTTGTTTCCTGATAACAGTCTCCGGGTCAGTGTCACCGACACTTCATTATCACGCCGAACGCTGGTACTATAAACAGCAGTTTAGCAAAAATCCGTGAAGCGTACTGGTGAATTATCCAGTGATTGGGCTGAATGTTTTGCTAACCTACTGTTATAGAGTAGCGTTGGGCGTGATGTTGATAACGACATGTCGGAAAGCACAGTGATTGGGCCGAATGTGCATTGAACAAGTGGAAAGGGAGGTGCAGAATTGCAGGTAGACCATAGGATTTGAGGCTTGAAACGGGGGTTGGATTGGAGTGGTTGTAGGAAGGAAGGAGCGAGTGTCCCGGACGTACCTGTCTCCCTGATGATCTCCTCGCTGATCCCGCAGTAGAAGTGGTTCCAGCTGTTCCACCTAACACACGAAATGGTTCATCATCAGCAAGGATCAAATCAATTAGACTAATCAAATCAAATAGACTAAACTGTAATAGAAAATGGCGACCCATGACGAAGCATAGGTCAAAAGCAAAATCGCGACTCATGACGAGGCTCGTCTCTAGAAAAATGGCGACCCGCGAGAAATTATAACCAATGCTTGCGCATGACATATTTGCTTCCAGACCAATGTACTAGGACTGTGTTTCTTTTTTACTGTACTGACGTATTGAGCAACCGACACACACAGAGAGGAGTAAAAGAAGCGGCCAGTGGCCGGACCGGGTACGTGATGACGACCCATGACAGCACCGGGACGGCAGCACCGTACGGTTCAGGTTGCGCAGTTAAAGTACTCCTATGTGCATGCAGCGCGAGGAGAGGACAGTGGCCAAGGGACAGGCACAAAGGCCAACAGAGAAAAAGGAAAAAGGAAAGCATAGATAAAGGAAGGGTCGTCAAATCTTTTCCCTCTTCTTTGGGCGTGCTTTGCTCTCGGTTGTTCCGCAGTTTTTGTTCTTTTTCGTTCAATTATACACGAAGATCACTGCAGATTTTGCATTACGGATGAGGTCACTGATCGATATAGTAGCAGAAACAAATACTGCTGGATCCCTGTGTTATAGTAGTAATAGATACTGGATCCATGCGAAATCTAGAACACATACATGCTCGTTCCAACATAGTAGATGGTGGCCAAAAAAAAAACTTTAGATCTATAGGAGTACGTATATGACAGGACGAGGGAAGCAGAGAAAAATGCCCAGCACCTGCCTGCACACGTGCGTGCCCAAGCAATGGCTCTTATCGCCAAATATCTCATCCTATGTCCAGCCAAAAGAAAATACGTAGCCGGACAGAAATTGTAAGAAAAAGGAAAATAGTACTGTACGTAGGAAAACCGTACCTGCAGCCACGAAGCGGAACAGAAATTGGAAATATCGCGTGCGGGAATGGAAGGCAAGGGAAGGGGCCAAAGGGGCTTTAACAAAAGCGTCCAAACCCGAGCCATCATGAAAGCGGAGGGAGCGGCTTAACGACTCGGTGGCCGCTGCCTCCGAGATTTTGGCCATGCACCTCTCGCTTCCGCCGCAAGCGAGACGCATATGAACGTCCCTTTCCTCTCGCCCCAAAGCCACCATCATCACCGCGCACCACGGCAGATTCTTTACGGTCAGCCCTACCCCTACTTCCTACTCCTACTTCCTACTCCTACTCCCGAGGGAGGGGTGAAGCCATCTTACTAATTTGTTCTGGTTTCCGATGATACTGTATTTTTTTATGCTATTGCTTTGTTCCTGCTAATCGGGCGGCAGCGTAGCGTGAGGCGGAGGATACGAATCGAATGCATGCTATACCGGGCGAACAAACGAGGAGGAAAAGACAAGAGGGAGGAGGTGGACGGTGGCGGCGTGAGTGAAAGTACCCCATCTGCGGCGTCCTGCCGAGGCCGTTCTCGAGCGCCTCCCGCCGCCCCCGCCGCGCGCGGAGCTCGCTCAGCGTCGCGTTCCCGGCCGCGTCCACGGGCACCCTGGCCCCCGCCGCCGACGTCGCCGCCGCGACCACCAGCGCGAGCAGCAGCGACAGGCTCGAGGCTCGCGCCATGGCTGCCTAGCCGCTCTGCCGAGCGAGCAGGAGCAGAGGAGGGAGGAGGTGGGGTGGGTGGGGGTGGTACTGGTGGCGCCGGTGAGTGACTGCTGGAGACGCGTCTGACGGGCGCCTTTATATAGGGCCGCGCGCGGGGACTGCGGGGCCGCAGTTTTCAAAATATTATTAAGGCCAAATATTAATGTGGCACCATTATTTTCTTCTAGTGATACTGTATTATTTGGAACTTTTTTTTTGGTTGTGTGGATGCACTCCTGTGGCTTGACTTGTGTCGGCAAATTTGACCATTTTGACCTATGGACGAAATCAATTCACGGAATGAACTGGCCTTGAAACTATTTCACAGCTCTAACATTTTTGTGTAGCGCCCGCTACGACGGCGCCACACCCTACGGTGCAGGTTCTAACCCGGGGGCGTTGCACTCTAGTCCACCGTGGCAGCCCCTGGGCCCGCACCCAGCAGTGCAACGCCTCCGGGCTAGGCGCCACACTTGTAAAGTGCAGCGCCCAGCCCGTAGGCGCTGCACGGTGACTTAGACGCCAGCCGCCCGCTCCCCCTCCCCCCACCCCACCCATTCGTTCGGTTTTGAAGTAACAGAAGCAGCGGCGCGGCGGGTTCCTCCTCTCCCCCTCTCAATCCCCTCTCCCAAATCCTTCAGATCCGACGATTTGGTCCGTGCATTTCTTCACCAATCCATCCTAGAAGGTACTCTCTTCCGATCCCCTTCTTTCTATCCATAGAAAATATGATATTTTGAAGATTTGGGGAATCCTTGTTTGATTAGATTAGATTTGAATCTTGCATGTATTAGAACTTTGCATGTATTGATTTGTTTGATTGATTTGGGGAACCCTTGTTTGTTTGATTTGTGGAACCCTAGTTTAGTTTATGGAAGAGTTATTTTTATGAAGTAGGCATAGTTTATGGAAAAGTTATTTGTATGAAGTAGGCCTAGTTATTTGTGGAACCCTTTTTTATTAGTTATGTTTGATTTGATATGGTTGGATACATAGATTGGTATGGTTGCATCTAGTAGGCCTACTTTAGTTTTTTTGTATTCAAAAGATAATCGTGTTGACAAGAAAGCTTTCTTGCAAATTGCTAGGATGGTTTGGCTTCTCAATGATCATTGGGATCTACAACACCGGTCGTACGCTATGTCGGTGAAGCAGCAGGTAATAATGAAAGTTGCCGGTGTTATGAATTTTGTGTTTTTTTTCAAACACATACCCCCCATATGTAATGATTTGTTTGTTTTCTTGTAGGAGCTTGCACCTCTGAAGCTTCGGGCTCACGGGGTCAACCTTGGGTGGATGCGCTATGATGAGCGGTACACGCCGTATGTTAGGGAGACAGGACTTCTCCCTTTCATTCAGTTGGTCAGCAGGTCGACGCCACCCAACAATGCTCCAGCACTCACCGCGCTTATTGATCATTGGAGGCCGGAGACACACACTTTCCATCTTCGGACCGGGGAGATGACCTTGACGCTCCAGGATATAGCTATGATCACCGGTCTTCCTATCAATGGGAAACCTCTATGTATGAGCACCGATTCTGATGGGTGGCGTGAGCAAATGTTTGCCCTTATCGGTATGGTTCCTCCGGAGCCGCGGGAACCAGAAGTAGAAGGCAATAAGAAGGAAAGAGTCGCAGCCGGTGCTACTTTCACGTGGATTGTATCGAACTTCAGTAATTGTCCTGAGGATGCTAATGAGGACACGGTGAAGACATATGCTCGTGTCTACATGTGGTACGTGATATCCAGGAGTATGTTTGCTGATGGCACAGGCAAAAATGCTCCATGGATGTGGCTCAAGGCGTTGATCGTCTTCGACAGCAAATGGAGTTGGGGTTCGGCGACACTGGCTTACTTGTATAGACAGGTATGAAGTTGTTTCTGTTTCAATTCATTGGTACATTATGAATGCGATCTTGCTTTTAATTCAACCATGTTCTCTTTTATGTGCAGTTGGACGAAGCCTGTTGTAGGCTATCTGGAGGTATTGGTGGTTGTTTGCTGGCACTTTCCATATGGAGCTGGGAGCGTTTGCCGGTTGGACGACCGAAGAAAGTGAAGTTCGAGGATTGGGACGAGAAACACGACCCACTACGGCGCCCGACTTGGGCTTACAAGTGGGATGTGTTAAATGAGATGACGGATGATCCCTCGGTCATGTACAAGCTGTACAGGAGCGAGATGGACGCGATCACGCCTGAGCAGGTGAATTGACATTGCATAAGTGGGATTGCGTATTGAGAAAGTCTTGATCCCCGGCATCAAGTTTTTTGTGTGCGAGAAATTTGTTGTACAAAGTGGCGAAGCGCTTCTCGGAGAAAGCAAGACAACAATCTTGAAGATCATCGGCCAACTCCTTAAGGCCACATGCCCTATAGAAGTTCGAACAAAAGTGCCTCATGCACCATCGATGGTGCAACGGAGCATGCCCGGGAATGTCAATCTCCACCGCGTTAAGGATTCCTTGATGCCGATCCGATATGACACAAATTTCCCTTTGAGCGGGTAACACCTTCGTCCTCAAAAGATGAAGAAACCACTCCCAGTTGTCATTGTTTTCCACCTCAACCAAAGCAAATGCCAATGGCAACACCCGGTTATTGGCATCACTTGCTATCGCAACCAACAAGGTGCCCTTGTATTGTCCGGTCAAGAACGTGCCATCAATTGCGATGATCGGCCTACAATGTTCGAAAGCCCTCACACATTGCTCGAACGCCCAAAAAGCACGGCCAAATACTCTGACTTTCCTTCCTTCATGAACCGTTGTTTGGTGCCCATGAGGCTCGACCACATGAACCATGCCCGGGTTTGTCGCGGCCATGGCTAACAACAACCTAGGGATTCGGTTGTATGCTTCCTCCCAAGTACCATACAACATCTTAAATGCGGCTTGCTTCGCCTTCCATGCCTTGTCGTACTTCACCTTGTAGTGAAAGATGGCTTTCACAAGGTCAATCACATGTTGGACGCTCATTGTTGGAAGTGTGGATATTGAGTTGGAGAGCCTGTAAGCGATGAACTCGGACGTGAGTTGTTTGTGGTTTTGGGACACAATCTTGCCATCCACCCTTTTGCCTTGGCACATGTGAGTTGGCACACAACTCACTACGTGCCAAGTGGGACCTCCTTTCCATGGTCTTGCACGCACAATCCATGGACATATTTCATCTTCACATGCACATGCAACCGTGTAGCGCACTTTGACGTCCGAGTGCACCACCTTATGTGGACGATAATGCGTAACCGAGTAGTTGTCGAGCCACATCTTCAATTCCAAGAAGGTGTCGAACTTAGAACCTTTAGCAATGCGGTTCTTGTCGTCTCCCAAATCACGATAAGAGCTTGACCTAACACCAAGAGGTACACATTGGCCACCATCTACCACGGCTTCATCCGCGAGACTAACATCCTTGAACAATGTAGTTCGATGATCCCGACCAAATACCTTCTCGAAAGCTTCGGCCTCCTTCACCGTGAACCCCTCCGCATCAACTTGTTCATCGGGACCATCGTCATCCGAGTCCGATGCATATGCACGGGAAAAAGGGATGGAAGGGTCCATTGTCTCTTGCAAGTGATATTTGTCGAGATCACCCACATTTTGTCATGGAGATCAACTTCATTGTCATCGTCCGCATACTCATTATTGTCCTCTTGCAAAGCTTCATCTTCGTTGTTTGTAAACGGGCTCAATGTTGGCCTCACTTCTTGGGTCAAAAGAGGTTCAACAATTTCATCTCGCTTCAAGGGTGTGGGGCTACTAGCAACCAAAGGGGAGGGGTTCCGGTTCAAGTCCAAATGCAAACTTGAATCAACCTTCTTCGTTGCAAATAACTCAAGAGCCTTGTCTAGTGATTCGGCCACCGTCTCCTTGTATGCAACCCAACGTTGCTCCGAGTTGACACGCATTGTCTTCCAACGGATGTGCATTCCAAAACCAACATTATGCCTTCCCTCCAACTCTATGATATCACTAGGGTCCGTCCAATTCAAATCTTCCCTAATTTGTTGCAAGAGCTCCGCATAGCTAGGACTACTATCAAACACAATGTCAACCTCATCCGGGTCCGGTTCTACATTCCCTTTTAAAAAGGCGTCCTTGTCCCCATGATGAACAAACACACATATTCTTCCCATCCCTATAAGCATTGCAATAACACAAAGTAACATTTCTTCCATGAGTACTAATACAAGGATTAACACGGAATAGAAACCCTAATATATATATCAAACAACAACCCTAACCCTAACCCTAACCATAACCATAACCATAACCATAACCCTAGCCCTAGCACCAACATAAGAACACCCATAAGAATAACCCTAGCATACTAACAAAGCCTAACCATAGAAATTGGCAAACAAACATCTCACATTTCCATGCAAATCTCTAGATCCAAACAAAACTAGGGTTTCCCCAAACAAGCAACAAATGAGCAATGGGGAACTTTACTTGGATCAAAACAAGGGGAATGAAGAATATTACCTTGAGGGAGGGTTTGACTTCGAAATCCACGGACAAAATCTTTAAATTTGCAAGATTTGGGAGAGGATTTGAGAGGGGGAGAGAGGGGGAAAGGGGGCAAAGCTCAGGGGAGGAGAGTGGGAGAGTGTGTGTGGTGTGGGGGTGGGGGAGGGGGGCCAGCCGAGTGGCTGGATAAGTCACAGTGCAGCGCCTAAGCGCTAGACGCTGCACTTTACAAGTGTGGCGCCTAGCTCGGAGGCGTTGCACTACTGGGTGCGGGCCCAGGGGCTGCCACGGTGGACTAGAGTGCAACGCCCCCGGGCTAGGCGCTGCACAGTAGGGTGTGGCGCCGTCGTGGCGGGCGCTACACAAAAAGGTTAGAGCTGTGAAATAGTTTCAAGGCCAGTTCATTCCGTGAATTGATTTCGTCCATAGGTCAAAATGGTCAAATTTGCCACTTGTGTCGCCGGGCTCAGTGCAGTGCTCGCGGACCGGTGCTCCGTGGGATCCAGCAGTGCGTTGGGCTGCTGGTGGAGTGGTGGTGGCCCGCTGTCAGCGAGATGGGATGCCGTGGCCGGGGTGGAACACGGGATATGCGCCCCAGCTCCGTGTGTGCGCATGTAGGAGTACGTACGTGAGGAAAAATATCAACCGAATGATTTCTCACAACCTTTCAAGAAAAAAAAACTGATTTCCCACCAGATACAGGCAATTCGAAATTAGCGAAAAAACTGTTTTTCTTTCTTCAAAGGCCAGTGCTTTTGTTAAAATACACGTGTATGTGTACGTGTTACATGCGTATTTGTGAATATAAAAAAATTGACTAGCGAACGTTATCTCCAAGGGCATGGCTAGATCTCACGTGACTGAAACTTAGCGATGTCTCAATCAAGTGAGTAACATGTGAGAAAGGAAAAAAAAAATCTGAAAAGAAAATTTTACATGGATTTCAATGTAAAATCTCAGGAATATAACATCGATCAAGACATAACCAAGTCTCAGTCGACTGAGATTTAACTAAACTGTATCTCAGTCGACCAATAGATTTCACATTGAGATCCATTGTATATTTTGTATCATTTTTTCCGCGTGAGATATTTTTTATCATTTTCATCTATGAGAACAAACATATCATAGTTTTTACTTTTGCAATAGGAAAAGAATATTACGTCACCCTCAATGATTTTAAATTAATATAAACACATTTGCACAATTGACTTACAATTAGTCAGTCCTCGGTCAAAGGAGGTTATAGTATTTCTAGTGAATGAAGAAATCTTTATAATATGGTAAAAAAACATATTTAAATTTTTGAAATACTTCCATATTTCTTTGCAGTCTACTGCAATATATATCAGATATAGCCGCTTTAATTTGGGAAGAGAAAAAGATAGAAAGTTGCATTGGAGACACGGATGCATATGTTTATTTCAGCTTCATACAAGTTCTAGCTTGTTTCTGTTTGTTAGGTTATCTACCACATTTTTGTCGAATGCCAAAACCTTATTTTGGGTATTTTAGTCCAAGAATCAACTTCAGCAGCATACCCAAAATGCAGTGAGTACCCATAATTTATAGGTAGGTACCTATTTTTTTCCTTCAAAATATTCAAATATGGCTATTCCCACCCCAGTACCCAAAACATGAAAACGCACGTGAGAATGCCCAACGACCCGTGCGGAAAAAATTCTGCACGAACCTCCGCACCACTCAGGCTCTGTCACCAGACCTCCATTGTGCCATCCTCTCCTTCGTCACAACCTCCATTGCACTTTTCTGACTTTCTCGACCTACATACTGCCTTGTGTCTCCACCTCACATTAGTCCCGCCACTGCTCCACCGGTTTTGGTTGGTTGGGGTGGGGTGGGGTGGGGGGCTCCCAACCGCCGCCCCGGTGCTTCTGGAGGTCATACACCTCGACCCCCACGGCCAACTTGGAGGCGGGCGCCTCGTCCTGTCCGACCTCATCGGACTCATCCAGCTGCCAATTGCCCTTCTTAGTAGTTAGTTCGCCCATCCTTGTCGTCCAATCGCCCTTCATCCCATCACCTTCCCTTCGCCGTCCTAAGCCACAACGGCGATTTTGGCTGGAAGTGAGCTCGGTGAACACAAAGTGATCAATGAAATTTTGAATCTTTTTTCTTATTTGTTGTCAAATAATGTTTAATTGCAACATCTTTGTGATGAATGATATACACTTGTGTTTAATTTAGAGCAATTTGAATTGCATATGTACAAATAGATGACAGAACTAGAAGCTTAAATTATGGGTACCCAGTTTTGGATATGCTACAAAAGTTAAAAAAAAGGGGGGGCTACCCTAACCTTTTCTCTCCTCTACCTATAATGGTTTGGGTAGCCAGAATATGGGTATGTCGTTGGAAATGCCTACTGATGCATTTGGAATTTTTTTTCCACTAGGATATTGATTTAGCGACCATCCATGGCTTGACTAAAAGTCCCACAAGTGTTGGATGCCAAATCAAAGGCATCGTATATGCATCTCAAGAAAAAAATGGAACCGTCGAGGTTGCTATTGAGTCCATAGGGTTGACAATACTATAAGATGGCAATGAGGTTGCTACGCAGAGTTCCATTATCTATGTGATTAAAGATCAAACTCCAAAGCCCTCACAAAGACTTTGATTTCTCCACCATGTCTAACTAATTTCACTCGTGTGGTGCCTTCGATCTCTTCCACTTCAAACCCTTCAGAAAGCTATCCAGATATAGTAGTTGCAAAAC